TTTTTTAAAAAAGTTAAAAAAACAGCCCTTTTATCTTCTGTAGATTGCGGCATTCACAATTTTTCTAAATCTCAAGAACTGCTCTGCATGACTTGTCGAGAGCAGACGAAACATGTCAACATTCAGATTAAACTTCAATATTCATAGAGATAGAATTTCAACTCATCTATAGTCTTAATAATAGAGGAAATTTAACATACCATAGGTGCAAGTGCAGCTGTAACTCCACAAACAATTGTTATTATTCTCGATAGTCCATAAATCGGACTAAAACAAATTACTAAAGAACACAGTTCCAACTAGAACTTCCTAAACCATAACCAAATTTTCCCATAAAAAACTGATCTTCTTTTTTGAATTCTGTGCATCTTGATTTTAATTTTAGTTTTTCGCTCTCTCAGACGTAAATTGCCATTATTAAACTAACTAAGTATTTATCCGCACTACACTGCAAGATATTTTTTTAAATTTTGTATATATATTTAATATAATAAAAATATTTTTATAATAGAAATGAGTAATATATTTATTTGTTTATTAGCTTAAGTTATGTATTTATATGTTTTAACTTTTAAATCTGAATAAACATTGTATATTTTTAATTGTTTTAATTTTTCAAATTATAATTTGCTATTAAATTTATTTAGCTAACTAATTATAAATATATATGTATGTAAGAATAAATCATTACATTTTTAATACATTCATGCTAATGGCAAATGTAATCTATTTTCTCCAATAAATTGGCACTTGATCCTCTTTTGTAATTAGATAAAGCAAAATATCATTTTAAAAAAAGATTTATTAATTAATATGATTATCTTGAATTATAAAATTTATTTATATATTAGATATTTATTATAAACATATATTTCTAAAACTACCAAACTATAATCAATAACATTCATATTAAAATCATTGCTATTTCTTTAGAACTAAATAGAAAATTATGTTTGAACTATTGAAATATCGTTTTAGTAGAAGTTAAATAATTAAATTTTGGTTATTGTAAACATACTTTAACTTGGAAATATAGCACAGAGAAATTTTATCTTTTTACAAAAACCGAGAAGTCGCATTTCTCGCCAAAACAAAAACTTTATTTTTCCATTAAACTGAAAAATCGCCTATTCCCGCCAAAACCAATAAAATTATTTTCTCGCGAAAACTTTTGTTTTTCCGCCAAAACCGAGAAATCACGTTTTTCTCACCAAAACCAAAAAAATCATCTTCGTGCAAAAACCAAAAAAATCTTTTTTTCCCGTAAAAGCCAAAAAAATTATTTTCCTGCAAAAAATGAGAAATTGTCTATTCCCACCAAAACCAAAAAAATTATTTTCTCGTCAAACTAAGAATCATGCTTTCCTACCAAAAAAATAAACTACAATTTCTCGCGAAAACAAAAAATTGCATTATCTCCCGAGAAATTGTGTTTTCCCGAAAAACTAAGAAATTGTATTTTCCCGCAAAAATTAAAAGATCACATTATTCGTCAAAATCTGAAAATTTGCATTTCCCATATAAACCAAGAAATTGGTTATTTTCACCAAAACCGAGATATTTTGTTTTCCCATCAAACAAAAAATTACATTTTCCGCCAAAATCGTCAGATTGCAATTTCTCGCGAAAACTAAGAAACCGCATTATCCGTCAAAAGCCAAAAATTTACATTTCTTGTCAAAACTGAGAAATCGCATTTTTCGTCAAAATTGTAAAGTTGCATTTCCCATCAAAACCAAAAAAATCGCGTTTTTCCATCAAAATTTAGATATTTTGTTTTCCTGTCAAAATTAATTTTTTTTTGTTTTCTCATCAAATCCAAAAATTCACATTTTTCCGCCAACTCCGAGAAATCACATTTCTTCCTCAAAGCCGAGAAATTTTATTTCTGCGCCAAAACAAGGAAATCTCATTTTCCCGTCAAAACTGAGAACTCATTTTTCCAAAATTTTTTGCTTTCCTATTCAAACCATGAAATTTTGCTTTTATGTCCAAACCGAGAAACTGAGTGAAGACCGAGCCGGAAACAAAGGCGATTCCGGTGTCCGATTTTAATGACACTGAGATTGAGGTCTTCATGAATGACTAGGAGAAAGTCCGAGCTACGGAGCTGCAAAAGTGGAGACAAAACAGCAGAATAATTGAAACTATGAGAGATGGAAAGTTTTCATATGAGGCTTAGCGGCGGAGAATAATCGAAAAGTTATTGATTCGTTCTCGGTAACCAACAGAAATACGAATCTTCAAGCTGTGGTGGTCTGAGCTTCTCCTCATTTGCTTTCGACTTCCATTTTTTGTAAACTTTGGGCTTTTTAATAGATCAGTAAAATAGTCAACTGATTTTAATATTGTGTTGATATATGTATTATTGTTATGTTTTTATTGGTTCAAATTTTTGCTGATGTGTGAGCTTCTTATAACATAAGGCTTTTTGGTAAAATATAAAACAAAAATTAATAGAAAAAGTATTTGAGTTTTTAATGGGTTTAAGTTTAAAAATTAAAATAAAAAGATGAGTTGTATTAATAAAATGTTTTGATTAGTGATTATTTTTGCTGAGGTGTCATGTTTATAAAGCTTCAAAAAGCTGATGTGTCATCTCCAGGAGAGACACTTGTGTTATTATTGTATTGATTGCGTTCTAAATTCTTGGTAGTGCCTTAAGTAAACTCTTGGGAGTGTATTAGATGTTTTGTATAACAAAATTAGGAGTATAAATATGCAAATACTTAAAAGAATTGATATGACTGTCCATATCGTCAAAATGCACTTTTTGTCACTTTTTCTGATAAAACTCCAAAATTAAATGTGTTTGAGCTAAAATAACACTAGAATGGGTAACATATTTAGAAGTCATTTTCGATATTGTGTGAGTTAGGCCAAAACACAGAAAAAATCATGTAGTAGATGTAAAGTTAGTAGAATGAAATCTATCAATTCTTAACACACTTGAATCAAACTTCCAAGCTTGTTGATGGAGTTGATGTAGAAGGTGATGAGTAATCAATGTATCTGATTCCACAGACACGTTTTTAGACTCTAACTTCCAAGGAATCTTTGTCGCATAGACAGCTAGATTCTACACAAGAGTTTTAAAGGATTTGATTCCACAAATGCTTGAAAAACTTGCAGTAACAATTATTTCAAAGAAATCTTTCTTTAAAAGCAAATAAAAGGGTCTTTGATTAATAATTTCGTAGTTATGTAATAGTACAATGTCCAAGAGCTTATATAAAGCTCAAAAATAATGCATAAAATGGTCATACATAATAAAACTAAAGCATAAAATCTGATGTAACAAAATACTAGTTATTTGGCTTATATATGGCTTGAAAGCGGGGGACGAATCTTGAGTCTTCAGAATGGTTTGAATGATCATGAACTCCTCTTATGAATGTAGGGTCAAGATTACTTGCTAGAGATGGTCTTTGGTCATACTTTCCCATATAAGCAAAGTTAGCATGCTCAGAAAAGGAAACTGTCTTCATATATGGTGATATCTCCTTCGGTTTGGGATGGTTTGATGTAATTTATGGCTTGGTATGGTGGTTTTCTCCCTTTTGTATCTTCTATGCACGCCAAGAAATATAAATGAGGCAGGTTGATATAAGCTATGCTAGTGGTTTTCTTAAATGGATCCAAGAATGTGAATGTTGGTCCATGTGCTAGTTTTAGCAGATCTCCTTGAATATCATGGCTTCTAACTCGTACTGGTGGTGGTTTGGCTCGACCATTGTGTTCTTCTTGGTGTATTGGATGGTGAAACTCCAAACTTAGGTCTTTAACTCCATTAGATTAATTACAAGCTTTCTTTGCTCATCAGGTACAAGCTTGTTTAGCTCCAAGTCAGCTTTTATAGCCTTTATCTTCTAGTGTATAATGATCAGCATTGATGTCCACATCAATCATAACTTTCAAGTCTCTCAACTAACTCATCAGTCATCAAAAAGGGGGAACTCATAGGCCCAAGAGCAGACATAGAGACTCATTAATAGAAGTGGTCGGAGCGTTACATTTTGAGATCACATATAATTGGAGTACTGATTTTAATCTATTGAGTGTCATGAATAAATTATTGTCTACATATCTCCCTTTAAGCTTTGGTGTTCATTAGCTCCATTAATTGCTATAAAAAAAGCTAAATATTGTTAAGAACAATGAAATCTGTTGTTAAATGTGTAGCTATGTATACTCTTTTTGGACAGAACTCTAGCCAAATGAATGGATGTGGCTAATTCAAACCCAACATTTAGCTATATTTGTAAACCAAATTTGTTGCAATGATTGCCACAAACTGGCTAAACTTTGTAGCCACATAATCACGAATAATTCTTTGCTATTCCATGGCTAACCAGCAACGGAAGAAGTTGTAGCCATATCATTGCTATTGTCTGCCGTTGTTGCTCTCGCTAATCTGTTGGGAAATGACGAAATTCATTTGTATCCATCTGTTGCCTACCTAGCTATTTTAACAACAGATTATGTCATATTGCTACGATTGAATATTCAGTCTTCACATTAGATATTCAGTCTTCACATTAGAGAAATCTCTAGAAGGCGGTTTGGGAGGGACATATGTGAGAAACCCAATCTACTTTTCTCCAATTATTTGAACTATTCCCTCTTTATTTTTAGCTCCTGAGAGTGGATTAATGGAGTTTCTATAGGCAATTTTTCACACAGATTAGCTTTTTGTCCTCTTTTTGCTGAAGGATCAGCATTGTAAGAGTATAAGATGGGATTGTCATTACTGAAGCTAAGTGTTCATGGGCTTAATCCTTATTCAAGCTTGCCCTACACATTTACACTATTTCTTGTTCTGCAAACATTATTAAATCCCATGAACACTTAGCTTAACTGATCAGTAAAAACATATTCACTGATTAGCCCTTTTTATATATAAAAAAAAAGCTAATGAGAAAAAGTACACTATTTGATGTCGAGAAAAAACCATTATTTTAAAATAATTATGTGACACAATCTTTTTCTTTTGAAAGTTCATGAGCCGCTTTCTCATGTGGCTCGTATTCCAAGGATGCATTGTCGCAGATGCAAGACGGTCTCTGATGGTTACACACGCCGAAGACTACAAGGACGAATCTTTGGCTGTGTTTGGAGAAGCAGAAGCTCTTACAATTGCTTTGTTTGATCCTCTCTTCAGCTACATGTCTGGATCAAAGACTTGTGGCAAATGGTCAGTCGTCCTCAAAGCTAATGAACAAGCAGAAAGTTACGTGAAGTGCAAGCAAACAATTCACAAGGTTGATTCCGAATTCCAATCTGCGAAGACTTTGAAGATGGATGATGTTTCAGATCCTAGAGTCATGTATTCAAGATCTTGAAGATGGAGTTGAATCTCTCTCAAAGTCTCAATTCTTAACTAACACCGTAGGCCATTATTAAAGCCTACAATTTTTGTAGAAAAAGCAAAATGTACTTGTAAAAAAGAACAAGATTTATTTCTCATATAACTATGTTCTTGCACACACAAAAAGTGATATCTATTATTGTTTCAAGAATCATAAAAAAAAAGCAAAACTTTTACATGTTAGAATAATCATAAATTCATAATGCGAACATGTGCGATACTGAAGCTTACCACACGGAGAGACATAAAATATTTACAAAATACAAATTCAAATGCAGGAGACAGGAGCTATAAAGAGTGCTCGTGCGGTTATAGGTTTTGTAAGATAACAAAATAGCAATCTTATTTAATTCCTTGATAAGAACCATGATGAGATTTGCACGAGTGGCATTGTCTTCAGTAGTAGACAAGCCAGCTTGGGAGATGCCTCATTGCAATGAAACAGATATCAATGCATAAAGTAAATGGAGATATAGTTGGAGGGAGACATTGAGCTGATATGGTGGAGATCTTTACCATTATTTGTGTATTATGAGAAAGAGATGCCTTATGCCATCTTGGAAGGGGAACATTGTGTATTTGGTTTTAATATTTTAACTACAATGAGATTCCTCTTACCTGTCTTCGCTGATGCTATATATAAGTATTGACCGGTGAGACAATGAAAAAGGCAGAACAAACATCTTTAGCTCTCTCAACTTCTTCTCTTTGATCAATAACAAAGAGCTTAAGATTCAAAAAATATGGCAGTCTCTCACCACATTCGCTCTAACAGTTTTCCCTCTAGACCTCACCCACAAGCTGCTCATATTGATGAGCAGTTGACCAGATTGAGATCTTCTGACGTAGCCTCAACATCTTCTTCAAGCTCTTATATCTGCAAAAGACTTGACAATATTCAAGAGCTACACGAGTCTCTTGACAAGCTTATTCGCTTACCAGTTACCCAACATGCGTTAGCACAAGACCAGAACAAGAAAATTGTGGAACAGCTTCTTGATGTATCTCTTAGGATCTTGGATTTGTGCAACGTTTCCAAGGATGCTTTGTCGCAGATGAAAGAGAGTCTCATGGAGATCCAGTCGATTCTACGAAGAAAGCGTGGGGATCTATTGGGAGAGGTCAAGAAGTACTTAGCCTTAAGAAAATCCCTCAAGAAGACATTCCAGAAAGCACAAAAGCCTTTGAAAGTTTCACAAGAAGAAGCATCTTTGGCTGTCTTTGGAGAAGCAGAAGCTATTACAATTGCTTTGTTTGATTCCCTCTTCAGCTACATGTCTGGATCAAAGACTTGTGGCAAATGGTCACTTGTTTCTAAGCTAATGAACCAGAAGAAAGTTACATTTGATCAGGCGCAAACAAACGAATTCTCAAGGGTTGATTCCGACTTTCAATCTGAGAAGACCTTGAAGATAGAAGATGTTCAGATCTTAGAGTCATGCATTCAAGATCTTGAAGATGGACTTGAATCTCTCTCTAAGTCTTTGATTAAATATAGAGTCTCAATTCTTAACACCTTAGGCCAATAAAGCCTAAAAATTTTGTATAGAGAAAAAAGAGATAATAGAAACATACTCTGATATTTAAGTCCAAGTTCTAAATATCTCATATATATTATCTTTGAATCTTTAAACATCAAAGAACAAGTTCATTCTAGAAACAAGAAATCAGAAAATTGTTGATACATACTCTTGACCTCCCAAATTTTACAGTTTTATACTTCATGGTAAAACAAATTAGGTTAATAACTCCAGTCCACCTAATTGACGCTGTCTCAATTCTTTATTACAAATTATTAAATTTCACACGTTCTCTGCAATCATAACTCTATTCATGCCTGCATGTTGTGGGAAACATAAACATTTGAAGTGATTAAAGAAAATATAAAAGAAAGAAGAATTTTAAGTTGCTGTGTGCTTTCACATGTTAAAAACGGCGAATATGGATCTTGTCTAGGGTGTGCACAAAAACCATAACAAAAAAAAACAAACCATACAGAACCGAAAAAAGTGATATAGTTTGGTTATGGTTAAACCTAAAAATTCATTTGGCCATCATTTTTTTATAGTTTTGGTTTAGATTTGGTTTGGTTAAAAACCGTCAAACCAAAAGGCTTTTTCGGTTTTTAAACTAAATTTTAAATAATTTATATTTTCCTAGTTTCTTAATTTAGTTTAAGTACATATTTTATTATTGGGCTTAGTTATCTTTATAATTTACTAACTTAATTCATAAATTTACAATATAATATTTATAAAAAATATCTACATATAAATAATAAAGTAAACCTTAATTTTTTAATAAAAAATAACATGATTAACTCATTTTTCTTCATATTCAAGTCTTCTAGTTCTAGTTCCAAGGTTATAGGTATTAAATTTTAATCTAGATTTGTTTATTATTTTATAATTATTGATTATGAAAGATTTGATTATTTATTTGTTTCTCTTTTTGAAATATGTCCTTATTGATGAATTTTTTATGATTTAGATTCTATTTTTTGAACTTTTGTTTTATTTCACTCATATCTATTATTATTATTTTCATTAGTTTGAATCAAAAAATTTCGTAAAAGTATAATTCCAAAAAAACCGAAACCAAATCATATTAAACCGAACCGTAAAAAACCAAGCCATACCGAACCGAAATATATATGACTTTTATATGGTTTGACTTTTCGTAAAACCGATAAACCGTAAAACCGAAGAAACCGAACCGAAACCAAACTAAAAACCGAAGTGCCCACCCCTAATCTTGTCTGTCTAATATCCTTCAGAAAGCGCTGTATTAAATATGAAACTTTTGTTTTCTTTAACATTAACACGTCAAAATCGATGGATAAGGATCTTGTCTTGATTCTAATTTTTTATTAGCGTTTCCAGCTTAAGAGAGAAACGAGAGAGAAGAAGTGAAAATATCTGATTCTTATTATCGTGTAAAGTGATTGGTACAATGTATTTATATTATCAATCTTCAACTAAACCAAAGATAATTACATCATAAACCAGACATTACAGAGTCTTTAACCAAGCTATATGTATAAGTATAAGAAGTATGCTATATACAAACTGATAGCCCCCTCAAGATGGAGGTGCAAAGATGTTGCTAACTCCCATCTTGGATATCAGCTCTTGGTAAGGTGCCGGATGAAGATCTTTGGTTAGTGCATCTGCGAGTTGATTCCTAGATTTCACGAACATAGTCTTGAGGAAACCTGAATCAACTGCTTCGTGAATCTTATAACAATCAATCTCAATATGCTTTGTCCGCTCATGAAACACTGAATTATTCGCAATGTGTATGGCCGCAGTGTTGTCACAATATAGATACACAGGTTCCTGAAAAGGAATATCCAAATCACCTAATAAACGGGAAAGCCAGATCATCTCCTTCGTGGCTGCAGACATTGCCCGAAACTCAGCTTCTGCATTACTGCAGGAAACAATATCCTGTTTCTTTGACTTCCACAATATCAGTGAATCTCCGAAGAACATACAAAAGCCAGTAACAGACCTTCGTGTATTTGTACACGCTGCCCAATCTGCATCTGTGAATCCTCTCAAGTCGAACTTGTTATCCGCAGGATAAAACAATCCTTGTCCTACTGTGGCCTTCAAGTAACGTAATAACTTGTGTGCCGCATTCAAGTGAGTATCACGAGGGTCGTGAGAGAACTGGCACAAAGTATTAACAGCGTATGAGATGTCAGGGCGAGTAGTGTGTAGGTACATAAGCTTCCCAATGAGCTTGCGATAGGAAGAAGGATCTGATAATGGAACACCAACATCCTTAGATAGCTTGATACTCGGATCCATAGGGATACTCGATGGTTTGCTGCCTAGAAAACATGTGCTAGCCAACAAATCCAAGACATACTTTCTCTGGCAAACTGATATTCCTGCAGCTGATCGAGCAATTTCTAAACCAAGGAAGTATTTGGCCTCACCAAGATCCCGCAGCTTGAAGTGAGATTGTAACTCCTCTTTGAACTCGATCACAGCAGCATCATTGTTGCTGATGATTAAGATGTCATCAACATAAACCAAAATCCCAAGAATGACATTTCCATGACATTTAACGAGCAGAGTATGGTCCGCATGAGATTTAGCAAATCCCATTTGAATTAAAGTCAAGGAGAGCTTGAGAAACCACTGCCGTGAAGCTTGTTTGAGTCCATAATTGGATTTGTGTAGATGACAAATAGCATTAGGAGGCAACATTTCACCAACAAGATCAGCATACCTAGGAGGAATCTTCATATAGATCTCTTCATCTAGATCCCCATTCAAGAATGCATTAGAGATATCGAGTTGACTCACAGACCAGTTCATCTTAGCTGCGGTCAAAAGAAACATACGGACTAAAGTTTGCTTGGCAACAGGGGAGAATGTTTCTTTATAATCCAGACCCTCTTGTTGTGTATAGCCCTTCGCAACCAGTCGAGCTTTTTACCTCCCGATACTACCGTCTGCGTTGTGTTTGATGGTGAAGACCCACTTACATCCAGTAGATGTCTTGTTATGAGGCAAGCTATCAATGCTCCAAGTATGAGTTCTCGTCATAGCTCCAATTTCAACTTTTATCGTATCACACCATACCTCAAAGTCCTTGGCGTCTAAATATTTTTGGGGAATAAAGGTATCTGTGATTGTGTTATGAAAGCACGAAAAAGCTCAGATAGGTATGAATAAGAGATATAGTTTGATATGGGATATAGAATAGTACTAGTAAAATTATAGCAATGAAAATCCTGCAAGTGTTTAGGGGTTTTTGTTGGTCTGCGAGACTTAGATTCGTAGGGAATCGAAGCCTCAGAAGATGACACATCGTGAGGAAGATGTGCATCATAAGATGTCACAAGAGGCAAAGGAATATCAGGGGGTGCAGGGGAATGAAAATGAGGAAAGAAATCTCTGGTTACATCATTGATGGGAGATAAAACCAAAGGGAAGATATCCTCATGAAAAATGACAT